GCATCGCGAGTCACCGGGCGGCGATCGACCGAGTCGTTATCGTCCGCCGCCGACTCTTCTCGACGAGAACGGTGGCGTCCACTATCACGTGGAACGTCTTGTTGGCGACGGCGTCGACAGGGTCAAACTCAGTATCTTGTTAAGTGGCGGGGATACCCAGACTAAGGGAATTCGTGAGAGTTTGAGGGTCCGCATTCAAACGGCAGGTAACTTGGCCCAAGTCGTCGGTGACTTTATGAGAAAGCACAGAGCTCGCGGGAGCGTGATGGATTAATGGATACGTTGCAGGGCGACAATCTGAAGGATTTCGGTGTTGTGCATTGAGTTTGACAAAATTGAACCAAAGATGGCGTTTCTCGCGCCTTCTAGCTCTGCTGTAAGTTACATAGGCAATTTCCGATGCCGCGGCACTCATCGCTCAAAGAGGCCATCGTAATCTGCAGCGGTTTCGCCAAGACAGGAATCGTCTGCGTCGCGGGTATAGGGGCGCCTCCTCTTTGAGCGCGAAGTCGCGCGGTACGTATCCTGCGGGATTTCGTGCGGAACCAAGAAGCGATCTCGCAGAGCTTTTCGTTCGTCAAGCTCAGCTTGTGTATTAGCCGGGGGCCCGACCCCTCGATCTTGAATGGGGAGAGTGTAACGAGATTACACGTACCCTAGCATGAAGGAATGGGTCACACATGATGGTGTGATCACACAATGGTGTGGCTACACCCTAACAAGAAGTCACTACGTGGCTGGACTGCTGCATTTTACTAATTAACTAGGTTTACCCATAGATATAAATATGAGCGGCTTTGCCGCAAATAAAACAAAGAAATACAGTTTACATTTTGAACGGAAGAGTTTAATTGCCTTGGGTTAAGGCTGTGGTTACTCTTGGAGTAAGGGGATTGCGACCTGCTACACTCAAACTGAATCTAGTATAGAACGAAGGTCACCGATTTTAACTAGCTTCCTCTCAGCAAAAGAGCTACGGCTGCCCCGGTGCATGAATTGTGAGCAACTAGTATTGCGATACCCATTAAAATGTTATTGTTATGGTACTGATAATAGATGTGGGAATTCGGAAAGGACAGGTCTTTGAGATGCGTGGATTGCTTACCTACGCTATACTGTAATTCTTGATAGGAAAGATGATATGTATTAAATCAAACTCTACTTTACGTCAATCTACAGCACAACTAAGTCTTGGGTGCTCAAGAGGTTTTGCACTTGGCTCCTGGCTGACTCCCGTTGTTTTGCATTAGTTCACTCGGACTCGCAGAGTCAGACCATCCTCTGCACAAGGTAGGTAGCAGCGCCGTTGCGCCGGGAAGCACTGTCATCAGCTCGACAAATGACTCTATATAATTTTGTGAGTTCTCCAGTAGCATGGAACATGATTGATCAGTTATCTGTTATCGGAACGCTTGATAAATTTTGCTTTGAGTTATTCCCGAGATAGCGCGAATGTAGGCCTAAGGGATAAGTGCAGTCGTTGGGGCGCTCAAATTGTGCTAGTAATCATGTCCAATAAAGCCTCAACCAGGCGTCAGTGAATCACAAACGGCTCCCACCATTAGACGTTTATGTCAACTGCAGGGAGGAAGGACATTTTTCCCACTGGCCAAAAAAAGGCTTGGATGTCCTGGAATTCGGCAAGGCTTCAGACGGAGCAATAGCACGTCGCACTAGCGATTTCTATCTAAGAATGCGCGAGAAAATGGGTACTAACGTGCGGTACGTATGAAGAAGAGGGTTTCCCAACATAAAACGTGCTGAAGTGACAGATGCCGCAGTAATTGCGCCGCCTATCTTGGCGTACTGTTTGCACTCAGATTCTGGCCCACTTGTCAATTCGCGAACAATATTCAGAAAATACTTTTTGCCGTGATCATGACATTCGAATTTGGTAACAGTACCTTTTTAAAGGGGGGTCAATACACCGTTGCGGACGGCGCCAAAATAGTCAGCGTGTGTTCAAACTCTGTAGTATTTTATCTTGGTAACTCAGTGTCCAAAATCAACAACCGCGTTAACGGTTTGTGTATGCTTTGGATATGAGGCCAATTCTAACTTCCATTTCCGACATTTGATGGATTTAGCTTTCGGGTCACTTTAAGATTCAGAAACCGCGTTAGTGTTTGGCCCTCAGGAGCATTACACATGGATTTCAAAGGAAGGCGTCAGCTGTGTCAATATGCAGATCTGGGCTGAGCTACCTCAGCGAGGATGTGTTAAAATAATTGATGTTTTTATCGATGTAAATATCAGTTTGGGTCGAATTAATCTTTGTGTTATTTGACGAGGTTGACCACACTAAACTGAAATTTTCTTAGCTTTTTGAAAGATGCTTGAAAGATCTATATGTGCTAATTAGGTAAGCATGACACGAGATCATCGAGTTCAGTTTTTGGGGAGCACTGTCCCTGACAGGAACCAAAACTTTCGTCATTTGAAAGGCGGCAGCTGAATAGCCTTGATTTTTTGTACATCCGCGTATTCGTTATTCTGAATAAAAGAATTTAAGACCGAAGTCAGTTTGAAGACTGCAACAGGTGTTTCGACCTCAGATGGCAGCTACAACGAGACTTTAAGAGTCTTGATTGTTCACGGCTTCTCCTCTTCAAGGAGGTACACACTCAGTCATGAAGGAGACGTAAGACCTGTAATCTCCTGCAAAACGTGGGTCTCTTTGTCGCGAGACATGTCGTCTAGTAGTAATGTGGTACTACAAAGGATGGTGTGGCTCCAACACTGGTTCTGCCGATATTAACGGCGAATCTCACTGATTTAATTTGCAAGAGAAACTTTAGCGAAAGCATCAGCGAAGGGACTCACTTTTCCGCATAAGCTGTACCTATTGCATATAAGTCATTGCTCGATCGTTTTTAGAGTCTTGGAGCAGAGGAAATAGCCCTGTCAACGAAATTGAGCATTCTGTCTTAAGTTGTACGGAGTTAGCATGACAGAGCTCTTGAAAGCCATAAACTAAGCTTGGAACCTCATTTGGGTATCTCCAAGGCCATGCTATGCTGATCAGGACCACATTCACACATGGGCATCTTCAACAGATTAACGACCTTACGGAAAATGAGATCTTCTCTTTTGAGAATGCTCAACCAGAGTCGATCAAGATATGTCAGAACCATGGGGCATCATTAAAAACGACTTTTGAGTTGACTGAGAAGAAATGATGAACTGAAGGTGAAGTACGGTTGTCATACCGAATTTAAAAGGCTACCTTGAGTTGAAACACCAATAGCACTCGCTCACTCCAAGATCATACTCTAGCGCGTTGCGACAGAAAGTGTTTTCCTTTATTTTTGCAGAAGCAACCATTGTAAGAAAAAGTTACTGCCTTGTTGGAGTCGGAGCTTTGATTTTTATATTAGCAATGCATCAAACTCGAGTTGTTTCGTCGAGATCTTGCTACTATCCTTCTCTTTCTGCCGACGTTCGCTCGATAAACGTCTCAGCAAAGATAGCCAGATTCACGTAAATTTCACATGATTCAAAACAAGATTTAAGGGAGTAGAGTACAAGTACACAGAACACACTTCAAAAATACTCGTTCTCCTTCCTTTACAGCATGTTCAACTTGGTCATAGCAAAAATTGTATTCGATCAAGAGATAGTGCTTGAAGATAGCTAGAAAATCAATCTAGCATTGTAAGGCAGAGGTTTACAACATAGAATTGGCCAAAAAGGGCAGAGCAGCAAGTACGAAAACGGATACTTACTTCACTAGCAAACAGGGCTTTTTCATCGATGCCGTGGCTGTGGTCACAAGTGTCTCGTTATGTGGGGATATGAATCGAGTGCACCATAATGTCGTATGATTGCTAGCAGGAGTGTCGCGTGAGACTATCCTCATACTGCGAGAAACTTCGGAGAAAGCGCACGTATCGAGTCATTTTGTATAAGCATGCAGCTTGAACCCGAATCAACGAGATGAGTTTTCTTTTGATTGTGCGTCTTTCGATAACAAATACTGGTGGCATACTTAGGGATGAGAACAACTCTTTGAAGACTGAGAGTCCACCTCCTCATATCAAACTTCTTTTAGTACGCAATGTAATATTTGGTTTCCATTCTAGTCGGCTTTTCAATCATACAATTCTGAATGATGTCCAGAAATTTTTCGTTCGAATTAAACACTAAGACAAAGAAATGCAAAACTTTGGAGCAATGGTCAGAAAGCTCTTTTCCGTTAGACGGGATCGTTGCTACAATTGAAACCACATATTAATATAATCAAGCACCAGCATTTTCAGCTGACTGACAGCTGTAATGAGATCATTCCAATGACCAGGAGCTGGGATGATCCTATCTTCGGAGATGCATAGACCTTCGTTGTATCATAATCAATGTGGCAGGTTCAAATGAGATGTTAGGCTCATCAGCTCTATTTATATCGATGTATAAACTCTCGAAGTCATTTGGTGGTTACAGATCTAGCAACTACGGAAAGATCTGAACAAGTCATGGATAGAATGTTCATTCTTCGACCAAGAAGGTTAGCACAGGAAAAAAATGAACCTAAATATGCAAATAGAACTAATTTCGACGCTCAATTGCCTTTTCTTTCTGTCAGAACTGATTATAACTCTATTTACATATTCTAGAAATGAAATAGATCTTTTATTCGTTTTTAAACCGTAGTCTAATTGTTCTATATTGGTAAAAATTTTAGCTAATGTGCTACAGTAGGTCGAATACGTGATAAGCACATCCCCTCCAGGTGGTTTTACTTGATTGATTGCAGAGGCCAGCTATCATTATATTTCATTCCAAGTAATTTTTTCTGAACGCAAAACAGACTCGTCGGACCCGCTTTGGAATATCCATGACGCGGCAGGAGTGCGCTCAAATATATCAGTTCCTTCCTTAGCAACGGCAGCCGACAATTATTTGATCTTAATTTTATTTTTCAATTGAGCCTACAAGATTAAGTGTCCACCGGGTCAAAATACCAACTCCAACGACGTCAAATCATTGTAGCTGTGCTCATGCCAAGTGTATACTGGCGTATGCTAGGTAGCAATGAATTTTAGAACCCAAAGCTTAAAGATGTCTAGACCATGGTATCTTCGTTGCGAAACGAGAGGAGGACTTGAGTTACAGATCTGTCGTGAGCTTTGCTCCAGTACAAAGATGCGGTTGTGTCTTCATTTCTATTCGGAGTCGGGCAAGCAGTCGGACGTAATCGGGGCTTGTCACGCTTCCTGTGCCTGTCTCTTTTTGTACTGATAAAGGTGAATTTAAGTAAAGGGGTACGTCTACTAGTATATTCGAATTCCTGCCCACATGCGTTGTCGTGGAAACGTCTTCCCCCTTCGCTTGGCCACTCATCCGCATCTTATCTGTGACACTTAAAGAAGAATCAAAGCAAAGGATATGAAGATTTTAAAAAAGCACCGCATACGGATGAATGTCATGGTTGTAGACTCGTTGATTATCTTACAAACGCCCTCTAAATAACATTTTTAACTTACCGTAATTACTGTACGAGTCTTACAGTTACCGACCCCATCCTACCATTTTCGTTCGAATTTCTGCTTCTGCAGTGGCGCAAATGCCCCAGCGACGTTATTGTAAGTCCATTACTCTCTCGACTAAGTTTGAAAGCCAAGCACACAAGTCAATTCTCATCCTCGTACTTTCAATTTTGCAATGCCACTGCCACCACTTATCTCTGAGCGCTTCCGACTTCTTCGTCCATTGAACGACGCGTTGTACGGATCCATAGGACTATATGAAGACATACAACATAATAGTGAGCCTGTAGCTATAAAGCAAGTGTCGCTAGCACGAGCTGTAGCAATTTTGCGTGTCAATCCTAACATGGACAATCCCTGGAGCGAGCATCGCGTGGTCTCACATCTGATGGCACTTCCACCGCATACCAACATTGTGCGCGTTCGTGGTGAGTTTCTACATTTAAACGACACATGGTGTGTAGTTATGGAATTTTGTCCCGGTGGAGATCTATGGAGCTTATTGGAATCTCAGCCGAACAATCGCCTTCCAGAGCTTGAGGCGTGCCAGCTTTTTCTTCAATGTGTACGTGGAGTGCGCTTCCTACACGCGCAAGGCATTGCACATCGTGATCTGTCACTTGAAAATATCTTTTGTAGTCGTGGAGTATGCAAAATTGGAGATTTTGGACTAAGTACAAATGTACCGCTCCGAGGCTGTGGCGAGACTGTGGGCAAGGCTTACTACATGGCTCCTGAAGTGGTCAATCAAGAGGCATATGACGCATTTTCTGCTGATGTGTGGTCGCTTGGTATTATGCTTTTTATTATGCTTACTGGCTCACCGCTCACGTCTTGTGCGTCGCGAGACAATAAAGCATTTAATGCTTTTTGTAAATTGGGCGTGGCGAAAATTATCGTCTCGTGGGGGCTTTCAGATCGAATATCTCCGGCTACAGTTGGATTGATAGATAGACTACTCAGCATCGACCCAAGTGACCGACCAACGATCGATGAGCTGTATGAGATTCTGGAGGCAAGAGCAAAGATCAATGCACAGCAAAGTGTAGAAATTTATTGATGTTAGTGCTGGGTATCACTACTGTGCCAAAAACACACATATAAGTTTCAATGTAGTGATAGTTAATTATGCGTTGAAATAAACTATTGTTTATTCTGGTCAACAGCATAGCATTAGGTATTGTCCAGACTAAGCCGACATTGTCCAATTTTCCTAAAATGATACGAATGGTATTGGGACGTAACAGAAGAGGCGCGTTATAGAGTATCCAGCGCGCCCGTATTCTGTCTTTTCCGATCAGGACGAGCCATTCTTCGTGCGACGGGGTTACTATACACTTTGCGCAGAAGAAGCGTCACCTCAAGGAGTTCGGATCAGCGGTGCACAGAGGTTGGTTCGAAAAGGAGAAATGTCAAGATTGCTAAGCATTTTAGTTGTTAGCCTTGCTGTTCCAAAAAGGGGCAAAGTTTAGGCTTATTATTATTTGGAGTATTACTAATATATACGTTTCACCTGCTTCTTTGATACTTCGACGGCTATAAAATTTTATGAATTAAAGGAAGCACAATGTGATTGTGCTAGTACAATAGCACTTCCTTCATTATGATGCAGACCACTCTAGGGCGCACACTTCTCTTGATTTCAACACTCTGAGCAATAGTGAACGCCCAACTCACAATCCAGACTAACTCCAAACTTTGCACTTTTGCTGTGCCAACCAGTGACTCGGTGTGTAACGGAATTACACGTACCCTGGTAACAGGGGTGTGTGTCACACGAGATGGGCGTGGTCCCAGTAAGAATACGGTACGTGGCTGGGTAGCCAGTAGGAATGCATGTATTAGATTTTTCTATGTATATTTAGGAAAATCTATACATGTAAATTAGGCGGCTTTGCCGCAGATAAAACAAATAAATACAGTTTACATTTTGAAGAGAATAGTTTATTAGCCTTGGGTTGAGGCTCTAACTACTCTTGGAGGTAGCGGATTGTGATCCGCTACACTCGTACTGGTTCTTGTAAAGAACGTAAGGTCGGTGACCTAACTTAGGCTTCCTCTAAGCGCAAAGCTACGGCAGCCCCGCTGCACTTGGGAGCACTTGTAGGCAATCTACACCTGAGTCGTTTAGACTGACCCTCTGTGAGGATGAGAAAAAAATTTCCTCTTTGCCCCAGGGCATGCAGGACGGGCTTCAAAAGCTGATGTCCTGGCTGGGCCCTGTGGGCGTGCAACACCTTGCTGCCCGAGGCAATCGGTGCACGTCTGGAGGCTTTGTTAGATTACGAAAACGCGCTGCTAGAGCACCTGCAGCAACAGATGTCTGTATCATTTGCGTCTATGACACCGCCGTCAGTGACGAATGATTTACCCGCCCTAAGCCGCTCATAGCGAGCGTTAGGGTCTTTGAGGGGAAGGATGGAGAGAATCTCCTGCTCTGGGTGAGAGAGGTTGGGATGGCCATCGCGTCCGCCATGCTTTAGACCGAGCAACAGCGCGTGGTGCTTGCCATCCCAAAGCTCGGTGGC